AAACATACTTAAGACATGGTGGAGTTTGGGGCGTTATAATGTGACGGTCAATCCCACTATTCGTTGGTAAAAGAGTAGCCCAAGAGTTGGCGGTGGGTGGTGATGACTAGCTGCCTTCCCTCTAGTCTTACACTGCTAAATTAGGGACGGCTAGCGCAGATAGCCCTTGTGTAGCTTTGCGCGAAATTCCAAAAACAAACAAGCTACATGAAGACCATATGTGTTAGTCATCCCTAATTTTGAACCCATAGTTTAGAGGGATGGCATCTAGTTAACAACACTCACTGCCAACTCTTTGGCTTTTCTAATAGAAAAGCAAGATTCAATTTTTATAACACACCCGTAACACCAAAGTGCGAAGCGTGATTTTGAGACAATGGGATGCGAACCATGGATCCTTAGCTTCACAGACTGGTACGTTAACTTTTAGACCACTTCCCAGCCTTCGTGCATTTTTATCATGCCTTCCAATCTAGATAATAATCACTTCTTTAACTTATCTAGAGACACCTGAAAAGCTGTACCCGTTTAAAAATCAAAACTAAAGAGAACTGAGCATAATGAAACTATACTAAAAGTCACTAGTTACGAATCCTTAATGTAGCACTTGAATAAAACAAGAACGCATATCAATCAATTCCTGGACTGAAAATCAAGTGCTTGTAAAGAGAAAGTGAAATAAAATAAAAACGCATAAACTACCTGCTTGTGTTGTTTTTTGAAGAACTGTGGCTCATGGAATAATTTCACCTTTTCAGTGTTGATCGACGATTCATTTGACCGGAGAACATGAAGTAGTAATTAATCACTGGAAGGAAAACTTGGTGTAAGGGAAGCTTATTTGGTTGCTTTAGAACTGCAGATTGATAAGATGTATTTCTAATCACCAGTTTGACTTCTTATGTAGTTTATAATTCCATCTCTAAACTGTTGTAGAATCACCATACACTTTATCCTCAACAACACCCAGCAAGAATAATTATTACAGTGCATATTTATCCTCTGTAAGTTGTTCGATTTCACTCGCTATAGTTTCTCCTTTGTTGAGCATATTTGATGTTTTTGTATCCTATGATGGAACATAGTCACCCCGGTCTAACATCAAACCATGAAGAAGTAACTGTATCGTCCCGAGCTGAGTCTTTTGGCTGTACCCTCCAGATTCTATACCGGGTTGTTTAGATTTGCAGTTAATTTTGGAAGGTTTCACTTTAGAATTTCTAATTCCAGCTAGCCAGTTACTTTTATCCACGAGTGAGGAGTTATGGTGACGGTTATTTTTAAGGTTCCAACTCTGAGGTTATTCCCGTACTGGGCAGGATGTATTTTTGACGGGCACATACTATATATTTCGTGTTACTTAGTCTTAGGCAGCTTGCTTGGAATCAGAAGGAACTCTCGTCGTCTTCAGTTGCTTACTTATTATGTATTTAGTTTCAGGATGCTCTGAAGTAAAACCAAAATCTAAGCTTGTTATAGGGAGTTTCACTGAGATAATATATGGAGTTCAGGCAATTTCATCGTGGGTGGCGGAAAGGATTTTTTATGAGAAATATTTGGAAGGATTTTGAGGGAATGCACTCAAGGCAATGAAATACAGAGAAGTGTCATCTTACCGTTTGCTAGCCCATCTATCTATCTATCTGTCTATCCATTCATTCACCCATTTTATATTTTCTGATATAAACGTTTGGTGAAACTATATCAGCAGAATCAAACAAACACGACATTACATCTACCATAATATGCTTGGTACATGATATTGCCTCCATCTATTCCAATGACTAGTGAGATACTGCCATAAATTAACGGATAAGCATTAGAGGTTCACTGTATATCTGGTAAATCAATAACTTTAATAACCCCAAGAGCAGTGGTATAACTAGTAAGAGTTATATGTTAAGGCTTAACTGTTTCGATAAACAACTACAAATAACGGCTTCTATTTTGTAAACCCTGTGTAGGACTTATGTACAGCAATGACCTACTCGGTGTTTACTTTTACAAAGAAAGCCTAGAAGTTGAATGGACTTGGCAAATAAATACCAGATGAGTTAGTATATTAGAGGAAAATCTCGCATGGTATCTTATAACATGCATAAACACCTTTACTCTTTATGAAGGACAAACATCACAAGATATGGTTTGGATAAATACTATATTTGTATAGGACAAAACATAATGAAGATAGCCAAGTTTCAAGGAGATTGATGAATTCATTGTAGTGCTAAAAAGCCTACAACTTCATATATATATGCATAAAGAAATACATTGTATATGAGGTAAGCATTTTGATATCACTGTAGTACTAATAATCCCATGATATTATATTCTATTGTGTAAGGTAAGTTAACTTGATTGAATTAATTCTACGTAACTATCGCGAGTAAATATTTTCTCTCGTAATATTTTTGTAAGAGTTCGGGAATTATAATAAGCAACCCTTGTTTTGCACAGAACTGGATACCAGGGGTCATACGCGGAGCAGAATATTTGGGTCCCCACCTTACCACAATACGCTTGTCATTCAAACTGGCAAAAGAAGGCTTATTGATTGTGTTTGTCGATATAAGTACTTGCGCGTGAGTATTTGTTTAAAAACTACTGGAAGCCTTTTCGAAGTCTATTGCGTGTTTATTTATACGTAGGAAACATATTCATCAAGGGGCAGACGTTTTGGATTATTTTGTAGAAAAGTTAGCTGATTGAAGTGAAGCGGAGTACTGTTGAAATAAAAGGGCGTACAGCAAATTAATTTTAGTTGATAGCCGTAACAGATCACAAGCTCTTAGAATTTGTCTTGTGTTGAGGTGAACAAGTCTGATTGATTGTTTCCGATATTCTCGCAAAACTACACAAGGACTATCTACGACAGTCCCTAATTTTGAAATTATTTACTAGAGGGAAGACAACAAGTCAACAGCACACACTGCAAGCTGTTAGGCAACTCTGATTGAATAGTTGATTTGCCAGTCAACCACAGACCCAAAGCGTTATTTTTGCGATAACGTGACGCGAACACTAGGATTCACAGTTCGGTACGCTCTTTTCTGAATAGGAATGTATATGAGATTGAAAGGAAATTAAGTGCAGGTAGTCCAAGCTTTGTTTTCCATGTATCTTTAGCGTTGAAGTTTTGTTTCTTCATGTGCAGTTGATAATTTGTGACATTTTGTGGATTTTCAGTCAAATGGGCATTACCAGAAATGAAAAAAAAGAAAAGAGAAATACATTATTTAGCATCTTTGTCTTACAAAATACCAGTTACTCGTGTAATGAGAAGCTGTAAATGAGCTTGTAGTATTCACCATTCAAAATCCCAAACCAAAAGAACTTTTAATTTTATAGCCACATCATTACATCTTAGTTTAAGTTCTTCATTTTTAATGACTGTGATTTCCTATTAGACTGATTACAGTGCTGCATCACATTTTTTCTCAAGTTAAATATCCTAGCTTTCAACAAAATTAATTAATGAAGCTGCTGGGAAACACAATAGCAAGGTCATTTTTTTCGTATTACAAAATAATTAGGCTTAATCTTTTCAGGAAATAGATGGGGAAGAATAAATTACTGATTCATGTACAGTGTATATTTTTAAACATATTACTGTTGAATAAAACAAACAAACAATATTTCCCAAACGAGTAAGCCAAAATACACAATATTCTTCAGACTACCTATGAAACATGCATCTAAATGTCATTTAAGTTTCTGAGTTTTCTCATAAACACACGCATAAAACAAAATTCACCTGATGTCTCAGCGGTAAGCTTTTAGGGCTTGTAATTCGAAAATTAGGTGTTCGGTCTTCGCAGCGGACACAACGCAAATTGCCCACTATGTAGTTGCACTAAAACAAATAGGTGTGCATAAAATATGAAAAAAATTATATATGTATCTCTTCTGATAATCGCATATAACACGTAAGTATTTTATAAATAAAAGTATGTGCAATTAATGACACTTTAAGGCTTACGTTCCTAAAGACATTCGCTTTAGAAATAATTATTCATATTTTGTGTCACAAAAGTTGCTTAGTAATAAGTATAATAGACTATGGAAATCTTCGATTGTAGACATTGGTTGGAGTATAATTTTAACATGCTTATGTGTTGGAGAGTAGGCTTAATTTGTATTCACTGTTGTCCCATATTTTGCCCATTCCTTGTTTTAAAGAGCATTTAAATAAAATAATAAAGTCTTGCTCAATTTACAACAAATAAAAAAAAGTCATAGATGAAATAATCTGTTTATTTTTTTAAGTATTGGCAAATGCAATTTACGTTTTATAACTAATGCGTCTTAAATTTTAAAATTTCTGATAAATATTAAGAAAATATAATTAATAACCATTATTCATTGAGGACTGGCACATATAGTGTTTGTTACTTGCACGACAAAAACTCCAAACCAATAGAAATAACATGATTTGTCTATATCTACAACAGTAAATTTGAAGCACTAACGCCAAGAGCTGAAGTTCAATTACGCGGCTATGTTTTTAAAAATATTATCGAATACTAGTTTATGAAGCTTGTAGTAATAAAGTACGCATGCCAGGTACACGATAATAGTTTATGAAGCTTATAGTAATAATGTACGAATGCCAGGTACATGATAATAGTTTATGAAGCTTATAATAATAAAGTATGCATGTCAGGTGCATGATAATGGTTTATGAAATTTATAGTAATAAAGTAGACACGCCAGATACATGATAATAGTTTATTAAACTTGTAGTAGTAAAGTACGCATGCCAGATACATGATAATAGTTTATGAAACTTATAGTAATAAAGTACACACGCCAGGTACATGATAATAGTTTATTAAACTTATAGTAATAAAGTACACATGCCTGGTACATGATAATAGTTTATTAAACTTACAGTAATAAAGTACTTACGCCTGGTACATGATAATAGTTTATGAAACTTATAGTAATAAAGTACGCATGCCAGGTACATGATAATAGTTTATGAAACTTATAGTAATAAAGTACGCATGCCAGGTACATGATAATAGTTTATGAAACTTATAGTAATAAAGTACACACGCCAGGTACATGATAATAGTTTATGAAACGTATAGTAATAAAGTAGACACGCCTGGCACATGATAATAGTTTTTAAAATTGGTAGTTATAGAATACATGGATTTCTGAGATTTATGATAATAAAACACACATATCTAGTACATAATAAAAATGTTATGAGATATTCATAAACTACGCGTATATGTTCATGATGTTGGACTGTGGATCAGAAAGTCCATGGTTCACGCCCCGTTGTCGCAAAATAGCGCTCTGCACCTAAGAGATGTGGGTGTTATAAGAGTGACATTCAAATCCCAATGTTGGATTAGAACATAGAGTTGACTAGCTGCCTTCCCATTTAGTCTATCAAACCAAATTCAAGGATGGCTGTGTGAAAAATGATAAACACGAAACACAGCAAAATGTGCGTGTGAAAAGAATTTCAGTATTTCTTCTTTGTTCACAAGTATATTTTTATATAGTGGCACAGCGGTATGTCTGTAGACTTACAAAGCTAGAAACCGGATTTCGCTACCCATCGTGTAGCTTTGTGCTTAACAACAAACAAGTAAAATCTATCTGAAGTTGAAATATCTTTCATCAAACGCTCGTTGCAAGTTGAAGGTAAAGTTGAATTATGAGACGTTTATACTTACTAGTTATAGCGAATGTTTGACGTAACCATTTCATAGGAATTGATTATTTTCAGAGTTATGTACGAAATATATAATTAACGTGAAATTACAGAATGATAAAAAATGCGAAGACTGTTGACTCTCCTATTGCATCGTTTCGTGTTGAAGTGTTTTGTTTTGTCATATCCTTTATTGGAGCTAGGGAGTTTCTTTAAATATCACAGTTAGCAACACTTGCATTATTTTGTGTTACAGTATAATTATGCTTGTTTTACAAAATGTGCTTTTCACTTTTTTTTTGAATTCTAATCAATTTTTCCTTTGAATTGGAATACTAGTAAATAAATGTGAATGATAAATGCAACTAATATTTATATTCAGTTACTGACGGACTGAAGAAAGTAGAGAAATAATTTCGTAATATATTAAATGTAAGTTCCGTAATGGTTCAAAGTTATTACACATAGGCCAAGGTTTGGCCTATCATGACGGTTAGAGTGCTCGATCCACAATCTGTGGGAGTAGGGAT